AAGCCGTGCCGCATCCAGGCTTTGACCGCTGAATCCATGGGATCAAACAGGTCCTGGGTTTGGTGGTAACAAACTGGCGGGTGGCTTCATCAGTCAACTCCAAGATAGCCTTGGAGAGGACTTGATCTCGTGGGCCTTGCCACGCACTAGAAGGTCGCAGCAGACATGGCTGGGATGGTTGCTGGAAGGATGTTGAAGTGTTGTTGGTGGGACAATTCAATGATCAATGAACTGCGGCAACAATGCTTTGGGAGCGGCAACAACAGTCAGGAAACTGGATAAAGGGAGGAACCAGCAGCAAAGGCACCAGGCAAACAGAACTGGGGCTGGAGCTGACAAAGCAAGGACTCACAACAACAGGGCAGCAACTGGAGGAAGCAACAAACTGGGAGGCAGGCAACTGGAAGGCAACAAGAGGAGGATGCAGTGGTCCAAATCAGGGAAGGCTTGGTTGGAAGCTTTCAGGATTGGGATTATGAACTCATAGTGTTGCACTGCAAGCCTGGAATGGGAGGAACCAGGGCCACCACCACAGTAGCCAGGCTGGTACTGTTGCTGTAGGATTGCACAGGGCTTGAACCAATCCAAGCATCCAAAAGGGTACCAGCCAGGTAGCTTTTGAACTGGGATCCATTGCAATGAGTCAACCTCAATCTCTGACACAGGTGCCTGGTCAGGTACCAGCCTGTCAGGATATCAATGCAAGGATGGTGTGGCTTGTATGTGTGTGTGGAACAGTGGGACGATTACCAAAGCCACCACCTGTCTCGTCGCGCAACAAGTCATCGGTGGGTGGAAGACTTAGGGGGCGGGGACAAAGACTTAGAGGACAAAGTCAAAGACTTAGAGGCCCCCAACTCCTTTTCAAGCATCGTCTTCGCGCACGGACTTTTCATGCATCGACTTAAAATTTTTCGAAAGCACGGATGAAAACACGTCACCAAATCCGGTCACGACTGACGCACTGCGTCAGTCGCCGACGTCAGTCGGATCTGGATTTTTAAAGCGGGGATGACGACCCAGTCACCAGTGCGAAGACATAAGGGACACCAATCTTGCCAAGAGAGCAAGACTTAGGCGGCAGTCCGGGGAGGACTTAGGGGCCGATCAGTCGAAGAATTAAGGGCCGATCTGGTGTTGTTGTGAAAATCGCGAAAAGAAAATTCGCGAAGATCAGATCGACCATGGCCCTGAGTCGGACGCATGCGACAACAGCGGGAGAGTTGGGTGGGAGCACCAGTCGGTGACTCGCCGTTGGGGCTAGCGATCACCAGGTGGTGAACGCATCATGGCAATGGCTAGAAGCCGAGATTGGGTGGGAGCACCAGTCGGTGACTCGCTTCGTTGTGGCTAGCGAAGCACCAGGTGGTGAACGCATCAGGCATCGGTGAAAAAGACACGACCATCGTGTGGAAAAAGCACACGACCATCGTGTGGAAAAAGCACACGACCATCGATCGGTCATCGTGAAAAGCACACGAAACACGAAAATGATCGATCGATCGATCGATCAATCAATCCAAAGAACAAGGCTCCTGCTACAGGACCAATGGCCGATAGCAGTAGCAGTGGTAACAGTAGTAGCCATAGCTAGTAGCTGTGACTAGTCATCGCGGTAGCGCCGTAAACAGAAAGAAAAGGACGCCATTGTCCTCTTCGATTGGTGGCTACATGCAATGTGTGGCTTGGATTGGCTCCTACCGACTGATCATCCACCTTGAAACCCTAACTCTATCTACGGTGACGTACCAGTCCAGCAGGAGCAAGTGTGCTTCCACATTGCTCTGCTTAGAGTCATGGCGATAGAATTCAATTCAATCCAATCCAATCCAATCCAATAGAAAAATTGCATCCAAAAAGCAATATTCGCTTTTTCACAGACAATTTTACAAAAAACACTATCAAATACAATGCAGGGTATGGCAAGTTTGCTCATCCCCTAGAAACAAACAGCATGTAAAAGATTATTTCCCCGTGTATCTGTGGCTGCCAATCTGCCCCTTTGCTGCTTCCACAAGATCTCCGTGTCATTTAAATGCGTTCCCGCGTACCGTACCGGTACAGGTACAGTACCGTACGTCGCACCGGTATTGGACTAGTACCAGTACCATACTGAGTTCAGAGAAAACTTTACGCTAACCCTACCGTACCGGTAGTACAATATACATGTATTTCCCAAAAAGTTGGCTTCGTTCCTGTCCCGAGCAATTTTATTTTAAATAATAAGGGGTTTAGAGTAGGAAATTATTACGAAGCCAGGGGGCCAGGCTTAAGCAAAGAACAGTCGAAATTCAGGACTAGGTTCTGGGGATCAGGGGCAAGAAATTGAGGACCATTACGGGGGGCAAAGGGTTTGGCTTTGCGGATCCACGGAGACATAAATGGGTAGCTTTCACAAGGGCAATTGAGATACGGGTCTGCATGAAGAACATCATTTGAGAGTAGGAAAATTGAGTTTTGGAGGTAGTAGCAGAAGCAAGGCGTTGTAAGAGAGTCTTGGCTTGAGGGGCAAGCATGCCATCCACTGAAACAACAAAGGGTGGAAGGAAGCGCGATTGGACTCGCACGCGTTCTTTATATTTGGAAATTTTTGTCGCGTTCTTGTTGGGTTAAAACTTTGACGGGATCTTTGTTGCGGTAAGAGGCACAGTCCAAATCAGTAACACGTACGTCAATAATAGCTGTAGTACCTCGTTCAAACAAGCCGCGAATAGAAAGATCACCACGTAAGAGCTCGGGGGCTGGAGGGGGATTGAGAGGGGGAGGAGGAAGGGGAGGTAAGGTAGAAATTGGGTGACCGGCAGGGATAGTAGGGGCGGGAACAGAGGGAAGGGGTGGTTCTGACTGGACGCTACAGGAACCAAAGCATTCACATGCAATAGAACCAAGTTCATTGCGGATTTCATTATGGCGACGGATGATTAAGCCGCCGCGTTTGCAATCCAGAGCATGTGGAACGCTGAAGGGACCAGTACAGCCATATAAAATAAGATCTATCGATAAAAGATCACCATCGCGGCATCGCAATCTCTCTCTCTCTCTCTGACGTCCCTCCAATAAAGGATACATCCATCGATCAATTCACTACAGCGTACTTGTCTTGCTGTATACTAGCATGGGCAAGCCAAGCATTCCGGCTCATCCGGAAGGAGCCACCATGAAGGCCGTCTGTTTTGCGAAATTCGGCAAAGATGCGTCGGCGTTGTCGGTGGAGACAATCCCCAAGCCCTCTCTCGAAACGCCCGACGAGGTCCTCATCAAAGTCCACGCGGCGGCTCTCAACCCAATTGACAAGTACCGCGTCGAGGGTGCCATGGCCATGATCCTTCCGGAAGCATTTGACACGTCCGTCTTGGGGTACGACGTGGCTGGAGTCATTGAACAAGTGGGAGAAGAAGCCGGCAAATCCTACAATGTGGGAGACCCAGTCTACGTTCGATTGAACAAGCCCATGAAATACGGAGCCGTGGCCGAGTATGCTGTGAGCTGTACGCATGAGATTGCCAAGAAACCAGCCAAACTCTCCTTCTCGGAAGCAGCATCCATCCCATTGGCGGGCGTTACTGCCTTGCAAGCGCTTCGTCGTGGCGGAGTGACGGAAGGAAGCAAGGTGTTTATTACAGGTGGAGCCGGTGGCGTCGGATCTCTGGCCATTCAGATTGCCAAGAAAATGTTGAACGCGTCTCATGTGTGTACCACGGCCAGTCCTGGTGTAGGAACGGAAATCTGTGAAACAGCAGGAGCGGATCGGGTGATTGACTATCGTTCTCAAAAGTTCGAGGAGGATCTCGCCGGGGAAGATTTTGATATGGTGTTTGACACCACCGATGAAGCAGGCAAGATGGGATCTCTCCTCAAAAAGGGCGGTAAAATCATGAGTGTTGCGGGGACTCCATCGATCCAAGCGGTCGAGCAGTGGATTGGCAACGTTCCCTGGTTCATGAGAATCTTTCTGTTTCTTGGCAAGAACCGAGCCGCCGAAAAGGCTGCCGCGATGAACGAAGGGACTTGGGAGTATGTCCTTCTAAACCCAAATGGCAAGGACCTTACCGAAATGGCAACCTATCTTGAGAACGGAGATATTGTGCCCGTCATTGATACCGAGGCTGCTTCCATAGAAGACTTCAAAACGGCGGTGGACAAGCTTTGGTCTGGACGGTCCAAGGGCAAGTGTGTCATCAAGGTAGTGGCATAAATTAAATTTGAAAAACCACAAGCTCATCTTGGACGGTCGATTGGTTGATTATACGGTACAACCTAGTACCTACAAATCGACTCGACTCATCTCGAATTTATCTGTCTGGGTGCAGCGGCTAGCTGGCTACGAAGTAGCCGATACTCTCCAATAGCTAGCTACCGTAGCAGCTAGAAACATCTAGTGCTATCATAGTGGCGCAGCATTCCCCCCGACCCAGCGTTCCTCTTGAAATCGCACATCGATAAATATAAGCTGGCAAGGCTGGCTAGCTAGTAGTCCTGGCCGGGATGACGGATATTTCTTTCGGATCCTTGGATCTTTCTTGCTCAACCCACCAGTGGCACGTTTCTCTTAGAGAAGGCTGCTGAACAACCTGATAAACCAAGTCTACCATGGCTGGCTCATTGACCAGTTGATGGAATGCCGGATAATTTGCCTCTCCTAGAGTCCCGCCAGAGTTTCGGCTGCAATTACAAGTGTGCAATTTCCGGGCATGCCAGGCAGCAGGAAGGCTCCTCGTCATTAACAGTTACTGTTCCAATGCCACCGGTGCCACAACGCCACAGGTATGCCTACATGCCTACCGGTACATGTTCCTGCAGTGAATTCCTACATGCCAGTTGCTTTGGCTCGATCTAGTGAGTGATCGCTAGAATACTCCTCCGAATCGAGGAGCTATCACTGTAAGAATGGGGTGGATTCATGATTTCGTCTCATCGGTGCAAAAGTGCGGTATCCCGGAATCCAATTCCAAGGTTACTAGACTGGAACTTTGTATATCGAAAGCGACACAAGCCGCGAGATGGCGAGTGGACTGGATGTGTTTTACACGGATTAACTACGAGAAATCGAATCGTAGCTCGGATCTTGCAACCGCAAATGCGCAAATAATACCACACAGGCGGGATATCTGAGGTGGTGCGGCTGGACCTTTTAATTGGAAACAGCACCCTTCAGATTTAATGAGGGTTGAGAGCATTAAAAGACTTTTAGTTCTCCTTGGAACTTTTCATTCGACAAAGAACCCCATTCGGAAATTGTGTTTTAAATCCAACGAATGGTTGGGGAACAACAGAGGAGCCTGCAGGGGTATTGAACAATCTTGCCCAGCTCTTGACCTCCGTTGAAGAAAGGCTTTTGTTGGCGGGAAAACGAGTTATTAATGATCTGCAACCCGCAACCGGAAGAAGGAAGAAGCAAGAAGCATGTGCATGCTCAGCGCCGAAGCTGAGGATGAAGAGGAAGAAGAAAAGCCTGAAGTCCAGCTTGTGGGCGAACCAATTTTTAATTGACCCAACCTGCTGGCACTGGCTAGCTAGCGGTGCAGCTAGCAAGTATCTAGCTAGAGACCCATCCTACTAGCTAGTAGGCACTAGTAGCTACCGGTTGGGGGGTCGTGAGAACAAGAATGTAGATATTAATTTAAGAACTAAGTTTGGTTGAACGATCATCAGACGCCAAAGAGAAGATATATATAAGCACCAGGAGCCAAGCAGCCAGGAGACGAAACGCTGCAGTGCTAGCCACGCAGCATGAGAACGCAGATCCGTGTTAACAACATCGAGGATCTAGCTGGGCTAGGCAGCCTGTGCCTTGGTGGGTCTTTTCAAGAGGAGTAGGTTCAGGAGGATGCCTTCAAAGTCTTGTTGGCTGAGCAAGCTGTTGGGGTCTCGCACCTCGTGGGCGTACGCGACGTAGACAGCCTTGGAGAGCCTCTGGGAATCGCGGTCCAACTCATCAAAACGACAAGAGGAGTGGTAGATTTGAATCTTGTTGTTCAAGGCTGCCGAAAGGACACTGGCAAAGACGGTCTCGGCATGCGGGGTCCTGTAGATGAAATTGACACTGGATTCGTAGAGTTGAAGCGCCTGGGCCAAACAGGCCGTGTCTCCTTGCATGGCCTTGGCGTGGCTGGCAATGGACATGTTGAAGACAATCATGCCGCAAATCACCGTGAGACTCGTCTCTTGATCTTGCGTCGGAACACTGGAAAAGACAATGGGATTGAGAAACACCATGGGCGATTCTGCGTCCTTATTGGGTGATTCAGCAGTACCGGTACAAGGCAACACATCAAAGTTCTTCTTCAAGAGATACAAAGCAGAGTAGTCATCCGCAACGGCATTTCCTGGTGCGACTTCACGGAGTTGAGCAATCATGCCTTCCAGGGACTGCCGAAACAAGAGGAGAGACTCTTTCCACTCGCCCTTGGCATACAGCGCCGCACCGCGATTGTTCAGGCGAGCCGCATCTCCAAGTCGTTCGGCAAGAGACATGATCCTAGCAACTGGTATGAATGAGAATCTTTAAAAACAATAAGCTTGGATGTTTGATGTTTATTTGTGGCTGTGTTGTGAGACGCTTTGCGAGTCGAGTCTTTTGCGATGCGTGGTCACAACAGCTTGATCATTACAGGCAAAAATTGCACTTGGTTATTACCTGCGCTGACGCCTGCCGTTGCAACTTCCTCGGTTGATGAATCAGGAATCATGGAAAATTCGCTTTGGAACTCCGACTTTGTGACCTGTAAACCTTCGTTTTTGTTCTGTACCGTACAAGTTGTACTCAATAATGGACAACTGAGATACCGATGCCTCTGAAGAGCCATTCCGACTTCAAGAGAAGTAATAAATAATCTTTCTTACCAGAGTTAAAGGATAGTTCTCCTTAGAAGCAGATGCCCAGACTGCCTGCTTTTCACACACCGTGTCGCTGGAGGGTCTCCGGGATGTTGGCTTTTGGCGATCCCAACCCAAATAACACGACTGATTTGCTTCCCTTGGAAGTCGCGCGACTGCGTGCGACTGCTCAGTCGCGTGCAGGCGCGCACAGTCGCACTAACAATCGCAAGAAATCGCGTGGAATCGCGTGCAGTCGCGTGCAGTCGCGTAGAGACGCTCTGACTATTCTTACTAGAACTATCTAGAAAAAAAGCAGTCGCGAGGAGTCGCGAGAAGTCGCGTAGAATCGCTTGGAGTCGCAAAGAGTCGTTGTGGCACTCGCGTGGAGTCGCGCGACTGTGTCAAAACCACTGTTGCGACTTTGAGCGACTCGCCAAAAATGGAGACTTAGGGGTTTTGGCGTGACGTCATCAGGGGGTCACCGGAGGCCCTCCTGGAAAGAAGTGCAAAGCATGCATCTGCTTTGAAAATACCTCTGTGTCACTCCAAAAGAACTGCGTTCAGCTGGTGTAAGAAGGCTTGTTCCTGTGCAACCCTACATCTTCGTTATTTGTACCGGTAGCCAGTAGAGCTACACTAACCAGTTCCTTGGAGACTTGGGCACTATCATACATGTAGGACGTGGAGTCTAATAAGTTACCGGTAGCAAGCTAGATACACAGCAACGTTCAAATAAGCAGCCTGAATTTCTACACATTGTTTTTATGTACATGAAAGAGAGTTTATGAATGGTCTATCAAATACAAGTCAGTGCATGCTTGCTCGCCATGGATCCACCGCAAAATTCTGCCCGCCAGATGCAACTCAGCATCGTTTGGCCGGGCAAACCAGCCATCTCTCGATATCAGCCCCGTAAGTTTTCATCTTCGACGCATCGGCTTTGTTTCAGGCAAAATCTAAACAAACGTCTTTCTCCGCAGCTGCTTTTGGAGATCCCGCGAGCTTTTTAGAAACTCACGAGGAGCCTCTCGGTTTGATCGCCCACGTCTCAAGGGACCGCCAGCCTGTTCGGCATGTGAACTGCCGGCGGGAAACATAGATTGAAGGCGTCTAGCCCTTCGACGACTGCAGCCGAAGGCATCAGATGCAGTCAAATATTGGAGAGTTTCCCCTGGCTGAACAACGACGGCCCCAAGTTCCCCGGGACAACTTATATCGAGCACTGGAAGAGGTGCACCATCTCCACAAAACAATGAACTGTCGAAGCATGTCTGGTCCACCTCCACTACTCCAGCTTGATCCTCCACTTTGACATTTTCAATTTCGACAACTTGACCGCCGCCTGAGTTGTCGTTAAAAAATTTGACAACTGTCACACTTGGTGTATTGCAAGGATGATCAAAGGTGAGCGTATCTTTGAGGAACCCAGAAACCAGGTTGAGTGTTTTTGCAGAATCGGTTGCATCGGAGAAGTGTACCGTGACTGTCAGGCCGTTTGAGAGCGGGTCTACAGGCGCTATTGCTCCGACTGTCACAATGGTTTGACATGATGCACCGCTACTGGGCGCAGCGCTGGGTTCCATGCTTCCTGGTGTTGGGACAGCACTCGGATTTGAAGATGGGGCATCTGACGCAGCAGATGGATTTGAAGAGGGCTTTTCGGAGGGGTTTGAAGATGGGCGAACAGAAGGAGCATCTGACGCAGCAGAAGGGTTTGAAGATGGGCGAACTGAAGGAGCATCTGACGCAGCCGATGGGTTTGAAGAGGGGGTTTCGGAAGTGCTTGAAGAGGGGTTTGAAGATGCGCGAACTGAAGGAGCTAAACTGGGTACGGTGGAGGGACTGATTGAGGGTTTCATAGTTGGCGCATCTGTAGAAACAGGAGGTGGGCCGCCCCCTGCACAAAAGGCAGTGAAAACTTCACCAAACGTAGCAATCAAAGCATGACCTCCCCCAAGAAAGATGCCCCCATCAGTCCCCCCTCCACATCCATCGGCTGGAAGTGGCGGAGGAGACATCTCGGGATCAAGACAAGACAATGGATCGAAGCAAGTTCGATCAATCTGTACACCCTCCTCATCACTCTCCACTTTGATATCTTCAACGTATAGTCCTTCAGATCCTGTGTTCTGATTGAACAACCCAATTTGAACCACAAATATGTTGCATGGGTGTTGAAACACGAATGGTTGTTGCTGATACACCCCCCAAACGGTGGGCGGTGTTTGGAATGAGTCAGAATTGTCACTGAACAAAACCCCCACCATGAGCTCAACTGGAAGTCCAACGCCTGCTGTACTTGCTCCAACTGTGAAAGTTGTCACACATGAATTTGATGGAGCTGCACTGGGAATGGTGCTTGGCGCAGCACTTGTGGGTGGGATGTTTGATGGTTGTGTGGATGGACTCAATGAGGGATCTGCTGGGTATGCCACTTGGGCAGACTGGGCCCGCACTCACGAAGGACCAGACTGGGAGACACTGGCCTGGTACTAAATGTGGGAGAGTCACTAGGGATCGAATGGGAGAAGTGCTTGGGCTGGAGCTTGGCATGCTGCTTGGCTCCCCACTTGTGCTTGGACTGAAGCTTGGAAGACCACTTGGCCTGGTACTAATGTGGGAGAGTCACTAGGGATTGAACTGGGTTACTGCTGGGAGCCTGGCTTGGTGTCATACTTGGAATGGCACTGGGTGTACCACTTGGTGACCCGCTGGGTATGCCACTTGGGTCAGAGCTGGGCCCTGCACTCAACGAAGGACCAGAACTGGGTAGAACACTCGGCCTAGTACTCAATGTGGGAGAGTCACTAGGGATCGAACTGGGAGCAGTGCTTGGGCTGGAGCTTGGCATGCTGCTTGGCTCCCCACTTGTGCTTGGACTGAAGCTTGGAAGACCACTTGGCCTGGTACTCAATGTGGGAGAGTCACTAGGGATTGAACTTGGGTTACTGCTGGGAGCCTGGCTTGGTGTCATACTTGGAATGGCACTGGGTGTACCACTCGGTGACCCGCTGGGTATGCCACTTGGGCTAGAACTGGGCCCAGCACTCAACGAAGGACCAGAACTGGGTAGAACACTAGGCCTAGTACTCAATGTGGGAGAGTCACTAGGGATCGAACTGGGAGAAGTGCTTGGGCTGGAGCTTGGCATGCTGCTTGGCTCCCCACTTGTGCTTGGACTGAAGCTTGGAAGACCACTTGGCCTGGTACTCAATGTGGGAGAGTCACTAGGGATTGAACTTGGGTTACTGCTGGAGCCTGGTGGTGTCATACTTGGAATGCACTGGTGTACACTTGGGACGCTGGGTATGCCACTTGGGCTAGAACTGGGCCCAGCACTCAACGAAGGACCAGAACTGGGTAGAACACTAGGCCCAGTACTCAATGTGGGAGAGTCACTAGGGATCGAACTGGGAGCAGTGCTTGGGCTGGAGCTTGGCATGCTGCTTGGCTCCCCACTTGTGCTTGGACTGAAGCTTGGAAGACCACTTGGCCTGGTACTCAATGTGGGAGAGTCACTAGGGATCGAACTGGGAGAAGTGCTTGGGCTGGAGCTTGGCATGCTGCTTGGCTCCCCACTTGTGCTTGGACTGAAGCTTGGAAGACCACTTGGCCTGGTACTCAATGTGGGAGAGTCACTAGGGATTGAACTTGGGTTACTGCTGGGAGCCTGGCTTGGTGTCATACTTGGAATGGCACTGGGTGTACCACTTGGTGATCCACTGGGTATGCCACTTGGGCTAGAACTGGGCCCAGCACTCAACGAAGGACCAGAACTGGGTAGAACACTAGGCCTAGTACTCAATGTGGGAGAGTCACTAGGGATCGAACTGGGAGAAGTGCTTGGGCTGGAGCTTGGCATGCTGCTTGGCTCCCCACTTGTGCTTGGACTGAAGCTTGGAAGACCACTTGGCCTGGTACTCAATGTGGGAGAGTCACTAGGGATTGAACTGGGGTTACTGCTGGGAGCCTGGCTTGGTGTCATACTTGGAATGGCACTGGGTGTACCACTTGGTGATCCACTGGGTATGCCACTTGGGCTAGAACTGGGCCCAGCACTCAACGAAGGACCAGAACTGGGTAGAACACTAGGCCTAGTACTCAATGTGGGAGAGTCACTAGGGATCGAACTGGGAGCATTGCTTGGGCTGGAGCTTGGCATGCTGCTTGGCTCCCCACTTGTGCTTGGACTGAAGCTTGGAAGACCACTTGGCCTGGTACTCAATGTGGGAGAGTCACTAGGGATTGAACTTGGGTTACTGCTGGGAGCCTGGCTTGGTGTCATACCTGCTGGGAGCCTGGCTTGGTGTCATACTTGACACAGGAGGTGGGCCGCCCACCGCACAAAAGGCAGTGAAAACTTCACCAAACGTAGCAATCAAAGCATGACCTCCCCCAAGAAAGATGCCCCCATCAGTCCCCCCTCCACATCCATCGGCTGGAAGTGGCGGAGGAGACAGCTCGGGAGCAAGACAAGACAATGGATCGAAGCAAGTTCGATCAATCTGTACACCCTCCTCATCACTCTCCACTTTGATATCTTCAACGTATAGTCCTTCAGATCCTGTGTTCTGATTGAACAACCCAATTTGAACCACAAATATGTTGCATGGGTGTTGAAACATGAATGGTTGTTGCTGATACACCCCCCAAACAGTGGGCGGTGTTTGGAATGAGTCAGAATTGTCACTGAACAAAACCCCCACCATGAGCTCAACTGGAAGTCCAACGCCTGCTGTACTTGCTCCAACTGTGAAAGTTGTCACACATGAATTTGATGGAGCTGCACTGGGAATGGTGCTTGGCGCAGCACTTGTGGGGGGGATGTTTGATGGTTGTGTGGATGGACTCAATGAGGGGTTGCCACTGGGAGCAGCACTTGGAGATCTGCTGGGTATGCCACTTGGGCTAGAACTGGGCCCAGCACTCAACGAAGGACCAGAGCTGGGTAGAACACTAGGCCTAGTACTCAATGTGGGAGAGTCACTAGGGATCGAACTGGGAGAAGTGCTTGGGCTGGAGCTTGGAATGCTGCTTGGCTCCCCGCTTGTGCTGGGACTAAGGCTTTGTAGACCACTGGGCCTGGGACTTGCTGAAGGATTTGCACTAGGGAGAGTGCTGGGAGACCTGCTGGGGCTGGAACTCGGGATATGGCTTGGTAACTGGCTAGTGCTGGGAATAGAGCTTGGCAGACTGCTGGGGCTGAGACTTGCTGTGGGGGATCCACTTTGGATAGTACTGGGTGACCTGCTGGGACTGGAACTTGTAATACTGCTTGGCAGCTGGCTAGTACTTGGACTGGAGCTGGGTAGAACACTTGGCCTAGGGCTGGTGGTGGGAGAGTTGCTAGGAATAGAGCTGGGAGAGCTGCTTGGGTTGTTGGTTGGATCCATACTGGGTGCCTGGCTTGTAGTAGGGTTGTTACTTGGAAGACCACTGGGCCTTGCACTTGCTGTAGGAAGCCCACTTGGTGTGTCACTTGGGCGTGCAGTAGGAGATGAGTTTGGCAGAGAAGTGGGGGTTTTGCTGGGAACGCTACTTGGGGTGTAACTGGGTTTATAGCTTGGAAGGATTGACGGCAGTGGACTTGCGGATGGGCTCTGGCTAGGGCTAGCGCTCGGCAATAAGCTCCACGATGGGATACTGCTTGGGATATTGAAGGGACTGGCAGATGGAGCCGATGATGGTAGCAGTGAGGGATTGGTAGAAGGACGTTTGCTCGGCTCAACACTGGGCAAGACGCTAGTTGATGGGACAATACTTGGCCCTGTGCTTGGTTGAACGCTATCCGATGGAGACTCACTCGGGAGGGTACTTGGCACGACACTTGGAATGATCGACGGGGCCACTGATGGCAGCATGGAAGGAATCGTACTGGGGAGCAAAGAAGGGGCGATGCTGGGTGCTGCGCTTGGAACAGCGCTGGGTGCAAAGCTCGGCGATTCGCTAGGAGTAGCACTCGGGGCTGTACCCTGCGCTCCGTCAGCGGAGATGCCATCTCCGTTTGTTATGCTGTTCACGATTCGAAGGTACTCATTGATGTATCCAACTTCCAGAACAGCGCCTGGGTTGGTCGACAGAGTGTCCCAATCAAAGCCCAGTATCTCGCCCTGCTGCAAATGGCGACGTCCTCCAGTAATATCGTTGCGGCTCGCCATCCTTACCGCTGTCACTTCTGGCACGCACCCCGAAAGAGCATTCATAGGCTGGCTTGCCGCCAACAAGACTGCAGTGAAGTATTGATCTTGCTGTTGTTGGGTGTTGCCGGAGAACGTAATGTATACCCTTTCTTGCAGATCCAAGAACGGCTCATTGCAGACAGTCGTGGTCGGCTGCATGGTCGGTGCCAAGGATGGAATGCGACTCGGAACCGTTGAGGGTGCATGACTGGGTGTTGCACTCGGCCGGACACTCGGAGCGATGGAAGGGACCATGCTGGGGACAACCGATGGGGTGGAACTGGGAGTAAAAGACGGTACCGCAGAATTGGTCGCCGACGGAGAAGCACTGGGCGCAGCAGTCGGGTTTGGCGTAGGCTCAAAGGTAGGGAACTGCGTCGGTGGGAACGTTGGCTGACCTGTGGGAGAGGGCGAAGGCTCATTGGTCGGTGCTGCTGTTGGTTCATTGGTAGGATTAGGAGTTGGCTCCGTTGTTGGTTCCGGTGTTGGCGCTGACGTGGGTGCGTCAGTTGTTGGTGCCTGCGTTGGAGACGTGGTGTTCACTCTAAAGGGATCGCTCCGTCTTGGCGGGACAGTCACCTCTTCAATCACAATGACGGGAACAGCATATGGTGTAGCTGGCGGAGTAGTCCCATCTTGTTCTTCTAGTATCTCTTCCTTTTCTTCCGCTTCTTCTTGAGCGTCCTTCACGAGATTGTCATTGAAATCCACGAGGAAGTCGTCCGTCGATGGAGGAGGTTCTTGTCCAGGTTCCTTTCCCTGAGGACACAAGCAAACATCCAATGCTTCTTGCAACCTTCGGGGTGGAGGAGGAAAAACACTGTCATGGTCCAGTCGTCGTTCTCGACGACGAAAGGCGTCATCAAACAGGGAAAATCCTCCTGCTTCAGTGACGGGACAGTTTCGACACCGTCCCGTGACTTGAAAGTATGCAATCGTGTTGGAACCGCGGTCGTCTTGCGTTTGGTTGTTGTGGGCAGTGGCATTGGTGGTGTTTTGGGACGGTGACAGCTGCAACAGACGACCACCATTATTTTCCACCAGTTCGTCGGGAAGATTGACTGCTTCTTCGAGCACCAATCCCACCTCGGAGACGACCCGAAAGAATTCATCACAGGCTCGAAAGGACAATTCATTGTAGGTTTCTTGAAAGACTCGTTCCATTCGTTCCTTGGTTTGTTCATTGATGAGACTCTTGTCAATGCCCAAATCGGTGTAAATGTACGAAGTAAAGTCTTGGAGTTGTCCGTTACAGTTGACCTGGGTTCCTTCGAGAATATTTTCGGGTTTGGTTGTGACGGAATCTACCTTGCCGTCTTGTTCGAGTTGGACAATTTCCTCGACGAGTGCTTGTTCGAACTCCACCGCCGTGGGACCCACGTCATCAGTGGGTACGGCTCCAGCCAAACAGGTACACACATCGTCTTGTGGTCCAACATGGACGGGAACGTATCGCAGCTGTCGTCTCTTGTTATTATTGGTGAGTCGTCGTCGTCGTCTTCGAAAGGCATCATCAAAGAGATGAAAAGTCCCCGCTTCTGTCACGGGACATCCTCGGCAGTTGCCCGTGACGGAAAAGAGCGTGGGGACGATTTGCCGGGTGACCCTTATTTCGGTGGTATTGCTCGTATTGGTATTGCCTGCCGTGTTATTATTGAGAAACAGCTCTTCTTGGTCGGTATTGACGACGTCATTTCCAGTGGTGAGAGTATCCCGAAAGTCATTCAAGACGTCTTGCAATCGTCGTCCCGCCAAGTCATTGCCTGCCGCGGGCGCAATGCGCAATTCGACGGCTTGAATGGATCGAAAGTTTCCATCGCACGTCTCAAAGACCAGTCGATTGTAGGCATCGGCAAATGCCTGTTCCAGTCGTTGGGCCTCCTGGAGGGTAATGGTAAGCAAGTCGACTTGCAAGTCGGAAAAGACTTGGGACCCAAAGGTCGACGAAGCTCCGAGGCAGGGTACCTGTTGCCCTTCTTCCAATGAATCCTCCGCCACTTGAATGGATTCGGAAAGGGTGCCTTCTTGTTGTAGTTCTTCAATGTCCGAGTGGAAGACGTCCAAAAAGTCCTCTTGGGAGAGACCATCGTCTCCTTCGTCGCCTAGTATTGGAGTGGCGGGACACGTGCACGTAGTCAAGTTGGTGACATTGTGGAACATAAGAAAGGCTTCTTCGTCCTCTACTAGCTGTCGTTGTTCTTGTTGTTGTTGTGGAGGAAAGAGGAGATTGAGCGACGATGCCATGGCCAATGGTTCATGTTGGAGTGACAGTCGTCGTCGTCGTCGTCGTCGAAAGGCATCGTCAAAGAGGGTGAAACTTCCCACGTCATTGACGGGGCAGTTGCGACACTGTCCCGTAATGGAAAAGACCATGTTGCCCGTAGTGGTGGTGGATCGTCGATCGGGCAAGTCAGTCGCGTTATTGGAGGTGGTATTGGAGGTACTGTTGGTAATGACGGCCAAGTGTCGTTGACGTACTCGATCATCATCCTCCAAGTCCTCATACTCATACTCTTCTTGATCGACCTGGAATTGTAGATTGGCACGAAGTACAGTCCGATGGAACGGATCACAAGTGGCAAAGGAGAGCTGATTGTACGCGGTAGCAAAGGATTCCTCCAAAGCAGCCACTTCTTCGGACGAGGGCAGCTCTTGTCCCAGTTCAACATCCAAGTAAGCAAAGGACGTAAAGGGTCGTAGAACGGCCCCACATGTGACTTGGCGGAGTTCTTCCACTGCCAGGACGGTCAGGTCTTCTGCCGCAAACTCGGGATGAACCGACAGCGCTTGGTTCAGACGGTCTACAAAGCCTTGTCGTGTCAATTCATCCTCTTCTGTTGTACCAGTATAAGATGACGATGACGAAGACGTGGATCCTTGTCGGCTCTGGCTGGTAGAAGCAGTAATGTCGGTGCGTTGGTAGGCTTCAATGGAGGATGATCTAGAAGCACTGAGCGTAGAAGACGTTTGGAGAGTGGCGGGACAGACACACGAGTTTGCGTCATTGCCAGTAGTACTAGCTTGTCGACTACTTGAGATGGTTTTCGTTTGGAGTGGTGCGGCTCGTTCTTGCGCGCTGGTGGTGTCATTGGTATTGTCATTGTCATTGTCATTGTCATAGGCAAGTATGGGCGGTGGCGCGAAAAAGAGAGACAGCGCTTCGGTGCAATTCCGACATGTGGCCGCGACGGCCAGCGTGACCAGTGAAGTGGTGGTGGTCTTATTCAACAAATTGATGTTGTCATGCTGTTGCTGTTCGAGTAGTAGTATATCGAGACTAGAGACATTGACTTGTTGCATCGTTCGAAAGTGTGGGTAATCACACGCTTCAAAGCTCCATTCATTGTACGTTTCCAACACCAACTGTTGAAACGCCAGGCGTCGACTGTAGAGCAACCATTCCGTATCGTTGCCACTCACAGACAACACCAAACTTCGATCCGACAATTCCGTTGGGACCGGATCACACGCATATTCGTCCACATCATCCAGCAACAGATCTTGCGCTGCTACAAACCCATGGATCGCACTCCTGCACCAAACAAACGCCAACATCCAAGACGACCATCTCCAGTTGGACCTGCTGGAGCGACTGTCACTCCTAGGGCGTGGTCGTACTCGACCCGTCTTTCCCGATGCTACTGTTGTTCTTGACGATGATGATGTCGCTCCTGTCATGGTGATTGATGGTGGAGCTATCTATACGTAGACTGTGGAGCAAGCAAAGAGCTGTCTGTGGATTGCAATGATCGTAACCAACAAAAGTTTGCACCAAAGCTTGAGGCTTGGATGAAAGGGTCAATGCAGCTTTCATTCGCAGCGTCGCCATGGCGGTACCAGTACTACTATGACATAGTAGTAGGGCACCTCGCAGCTTTGCCAAGCAAGTTAATTAACGAAGCAAGCAGTGAATCTACGACAGAGTCAATGTTTTTAATTAACAGCGATGGATCATTGAGCTCTGAAATCATTTTTAGTGTCAGTTCTATTTAACAAAAACAGATGGTCTTGAATTGATAACTCTATAATTAACAGGCATGCTGTCTACTCGTAGATGCCCTCTCCTCCTTTTTGTACGAGTATACCAAAAGAGTACAAAACCAGGTTTACATCGACACACAGCAAATCTGTTACTTAAAGGTATTCTTGAACCAAAGAATGGGGCGGGTAAACAATGACTTATTGGATAGCCTCCGGTTCGGGACCAGCAATCCGGGCATCTCATTATGAGACCTTCAGTACAGGTTGTAGGTACTGAACTTTGGATGGTCCCATCGAAATAAAGCAGGCTAATATAGTACCATGTCCCCTGGTGCAAGGCTTCATGACATCCAAGTGACTGCAGATAGACCAGATGAGGTCGTCACAGCTCAGCTCGGATTCTTTCAGCTAGTCTACTCCCATTCATGATGGTTTGGGCCGTGGCACGATGATGTGGCCCATGCCAGGCAGCGACCGCTCACTACTGTATTTTGTCTTTGCTGAAATCGTAGGACTGTACGAGTATGCAAAGAGTACCGTGGAGAACCAGGTTTAGTAAGGACATCTCGTACGGTAGGCTAGCTACTGGTAGTACTCTAGCGAGTTCTTCTCTTCTTATTGGATTTCCCGTTCCGGGCGTCTCATTCTGATTCTCGGCATGGAACGGCACTCCAGCCAAAATTACTACTGAGTAGTAAGTAACATAAAAAGCAAGGACCGGTATGGCTTCATGAGTCGAGTCGAGTCGAGATGAAGTGACTGCGGGTAGACCAGATGAGGTCGTCATGGCATACCTTCTATTTGTTCGCTCCAATTCTTAATGGTTTAGTTATTAGGTAGTGGCCCTGGCAGGAGGGGGGCTGCTTGCTTCCTTTGCAGCCAACTACCCACTTGGCTGGCTTCTTGCTTCTTGTAGTGTCCTGTTATGTATGTTGTTGCGCGCACTGGCGTGGCCCTGATGGATGGACAATATTATATCCCCATCATGTTTACCATCATGCTACAGTACTTTAGTTGATTAGTTACGTAGCTCATGGTCGTAGTCAGCCAGCCAAACCTGGTACGGTAGTGCTGTGGCTGAAACAGCAGTGAGCCAGGAAACAAGTCGAGCGAGGATCAGTGCATGGTTGGCTGGAAGCAACGAAGGTGCAACTGGCAGATCAGAGGAACCACGTTGGTGCGTGCGTGAAGGCAGACAGAGGTGCTGCACGGTACCGGTACCACCCTTGCTTACCGGGACCAATGCAGTAATTACCAAACGGTAGAACTCCTATCATAGACCACTTACTTGACGACTAGACTAATAACCATTGACTGCTGAGTAACCAGTACGGTACATGTTTGTACCGATGAGGCCAATTATGATGGAGTAAATATACTTTGGCTGTGGGGGGTGGGGGCTCATAAGGTGGCATATCGAACAGCAACCTGTGAGGGAGTAGACCGTGGGAACGGAACGTGGAAGCCTTAGCCTTCTACTTTGGGTGGACGGGACTTGGCATGAATCATGACTGGACTGCCTCGATGACGTTGATGGGCCAACATATGCCTCCACGTTGAACCTTCCCACAACATCAACGAAGGTTCCAACTCACAAGCCATCACCATCATGCAGTCCAAGGGTCCACATGCATAAAACCGCGACAGGCACAAATAACCAACTCAGGATCCTTGCTAGTATACCCATCTTGTAGAGGCAAAAAAGGAAGAGATACCAAAAATAACCAAGAGACAATGAAGATCAATTCCATACAACGTGCTCTTGTCCTTTTGTTGGCGTTTTCTAGCGTGCAGGGCCAGCAGTATGATTATGAGGATTATGGGGATGATCAAGGTCAAGACTACTATGCTCAAACAGAAGATACTCTCTACCAAGACTATGCAGAACACCAGCAGATGAAGGCTCAAGGTGGAGGAGGGTGAGTGTTGCAGGAATGGGTATATACCCATATACCCATATCCAAATGGCTTAAGATGGATGGAACTGGAGTCTCATTCTTTGATATCTTTTTTCCCATACTGCTCTATCGGTATCACAGTGCCATGGTAAAAATGTTTGGCGCCGGAGTGGCAGGTTGGTTTTTGGGTGGCAAGATTCACTCGAAACGAGCCTTGAAAAAGCAGCACAAGAAGCACATTGAAGATCTGAAAGATTTGTACAGCAAGTACATTAACGACGTGTCCACTCAGCAAAGTCAGATTGCCGAACTGGAGGCATTCATCAAGGAATCCGCGCGACAGCAATTGGCCGACGAATTCCTGAGGGCCGATTACGACAACAATCGTCAAGTCAGCCGCGCTGAATTCGAACGATACAAGCGAGAATACCTCATCAAGCATCCCGAAATGACATCCGCCTTCCCCGAATTTGAAGCCTTTGATCCCGATCGCAATGGAATGATTACGCTGCGAGAACACGAAGAGTATTACGAACAGAGAGGAATGATCTAGCTAATACTAGAAAGAAAAAAGGCAACAATATTCAAGTCATGCTGCAGCGTTTGATCCATCCTACCATCCGAGAAAAAAACTGCCGTGGCTCACAAAACAAACAGCACATCACACACAACTTATTTTGCTGGCATGGCTGGCTCAGCCACTGTGGAGTAACAATGAGGAGTGGAACAATCTCTTCTCTTGTACAGTAGCCATGCGCCTATAATGCTTACTTACTAACTTTTTTGTTGGGGAGAATCCAATCAGCCCAGTTTGCTGTGCTCTGTTCTTGCTTTCATGCCTTCTCAGAGAAGTCCACAGGATCCATGCTTTAGCTGACTGTGTGGACTCGACAGGTGTTCGGACATCAACTCACGTTGGCAGGTCTCTCATTACGATTGCTCTCCTCTCGTGCTAGACGAGAAGTTTGCCTCCTTGTCTTCAGTGTTTCCAAAGGCTTGCCAGCTCCAGAACAACCATTCTTAGTAGCCAAAGAACTACTGCTTCGTCCTGGGGCAAGGCAGTGTGTTCCAGTATGACGAAGCCATTGCTTCCATTTGTATGTCCCCCCTGAAGAGCAGAACGTTTGTTTTGCATGCCAAGCTGGATCAGGATGCATCTATAATCATCGTTACTATTTATGTAGTTTCACAACTTCATAACCCATCTAGTTTTGTAGAGAAGGCAACGTCCATCGTTTGAGTCCAGCCTTGTACTCTCCGGGCATGTGATCCGAACAACCGTAAAATTCCAACCTCCAAGGACCACCTTGCATTGGTCTCGAGAACAGCGTGAGACCTCCCAACGGCCACGGCTCCCGCTTGGACTCTTTCAAGGAAGATCCTTCCAAATGCAGAGCCAGGGCAATGTTACAAGGAGCATGACTGACAATGGCCATGTTTTGGTTTTCACTAGTAGTGTCTCCTAGTAGTTTGTCCAGTGTCGCGGCACATCGGACCACCAAATTCTCCTCGGTTTCGGGAAAGTGAGGAGATCCCTCTGCGCCCGTAGACGACGCTGCATTGACCGACTGATAGGTCGCATCGACCAACGGAAATTTTGTGACATGTGTAGCCGCCGTTTGGGGATGCGTGTGTGTGCCATCCGGTGTCACGAGCAGCGATGGCACTTGCCATTCGGTCAGACCTTCTTCAATCCTCACTGCCGCGCCGTTGGCCTTTTGGGCAATAATGTGAGCCGTGTGAACCGTCCGCAAAAATGGAGACGCATACACCACAGCGGGAGCCGAAGCGCCACTCTGAGTCATCCGAGTGGCAATACTGTTGGCATGCTCGATTCCTACCGTAGGGTCAATGTCACCTTTAGAAAGGGACCGAGTGGAGTAGAATAGTAGTGTCAATCACATGCGCAAGTCTTCCGCATAGCATATAGATCGTCACGTCAAAGCAAGACTTACTGTCAAAGGGACCCACACTCTCGACCAACGGATACTCAGTCAACCCATACCGAACAAGCCACACATACTGCCTCTCTTCTCCGTCGCTGCCGTTGCTCGTGTTCTGAATTGTCATCTTGACATCCATGTACTGCGGAGTGATGGGGTGTTGCATGTGATTGATGATTGATGCTTTGAGTGCTTGCTTCGAATCTTTTGGAATCTTGGTGTACATGTAAGGGACGATTTTCTAACCCTAAACATAACTGATCCCGTAATTAGGGGGTTATGGGAGCTGTTGTAGGTCACTTGACACTTGACCCCTTGATCAGTTTGCCTCAGCGTTGTCTGCTTGTTCTTTTGGTTCTGTTCTGCTCAAGTTTGTGTTTTGTGAGCTTCGTTTACATCGGGAGGCAACGAACTGCGATATTGGATCGTGACAAAGATCGATCGCTGCAGGTACCATACGATCTTGTCAAAGGCAAGGATACCCTTGGTATGATGCCTTCGTTTGCGGTCCGGCCTCTCCATACTCAGCAACTCGATCTTGTCAGTGGTCGACCCTATTCAAATCTTTCTTTCTTGTTTCACTCTACCTTTTCTCTGACACCACTCGTAGGTCAACGCATGCATTTCTGGCACTAGTTGCGGCAGCTCAACTCCAGCTATGAACATGCACGGGGCGACGATTATCATTCGGTGCGACAAGCGAAAAGTTACAGATGGACGTACGAGCATTGATGATCAGTCCCTACCGGTATGCATAGCTAGCTAGAAGATTCTATTCAGATCTTAAAGCTCTGAACTGGAGGGGCAATGTCATCTACCTTGTGGTACTTGTCTACCTACTTGTCTTAGCCGCTGAGCTGTGCATGCTTGCATCTACATGTACCGGTGTGTTTTTATGCTCGGAGGATTGGATACTGTACGCCTCGAGCTCAGTTGGCTTCGATGGTGTCACGAAACGGGGGTCAAGCAATCACATACTTTCAGTAGTAACCTGCGCTTCGGCAGACACCGGCCTTACAAGCCTCGCATCGTTCATGGTCATGGGGACCTTCTTCATCGTTGAAGGAGCCGTCTCTGCTATTGGATCCAGTATTCACCCAAAGGCAGCACGGCATAGACTTGGAGTTGCATCGCTTGCATCCTTGTCCATAACTTTTGTGCGCATGGGCTGATCCCCACTGATTTCCGCAATTGGGACACTGAAACCGTCCAAAGCTCTTTTTTCCAACGAACTGGTCCCTGCGAACCCAATACCCTTCAATATCAGGATGGGGAGGGGAGTGAGAGTGATTTTCCATCTTTCGTTTTCTCTTCTGAGAAATGAAAGAGATACATGTATCATAACGATAGTTTGATGAGTGTGATTGAGCCATCGGCGGGTTGAAGTACTCATCTAGTTAAGCCAACAAACATTTCAAATCGGTACATGCAGCACGTAGGGAAGATTCCGAACTGAGAGAAGCTAGCAACCAAAACCGTATCTTTTCTCACTTGCCTCGTATGAGCCATTGCCACACGATGTAGATCAAAACTGAAGCTCAATCTCACTCCCTGGCTGGGAAGTAAGGAGTTTTACAACGCCTGCTGGCGCAGTTGGGATGCCACGGCAGCCAGCCGCGGCACCAAACAGCCAGCTACCTACGAAAAAGCCAATAAGGAGAGATCGATGGGTCCTGAGACGAAAACTTTTGGGCTAGTAAGTAGCGAGCTTCAGCTTGTCCGGCCGGTTGAATCTCCCACGCCACCTCCACCACCCACTAGCTATCGCAGGTCCTTGATCCCTGGGGGCTACCGCATCCTCGCGATATCCTTCAACTTGCTTCAATTTGAAATAGACGTGGTATTACTATTTGGTTAGAGTGGCCTATAGCTAGGGTGGGAGGTGACTATAGTAGAAGTGGTTGGCAGCAGGGCATGCCAGGGGGCTCGAAGCCAAAAACGAACAGGCCAGCGGGGAGAAGGGAAGGATCCCAAGGAGAACCAACCGTAGCTTAGCCAGCCAGGGGAAAATTGGGGGAGAGGGCTAAGACTCCGGCTACCGGTACCGGAGGGCCAGGATAGTCTAGCTAGCCGCAATGATCCTTTCATGGGTGGCGGGTGCCGGAAGCTCGGTGAAAGCGAATAGCACGTGGATAGAAAGTAAAGAATCAAAAGGAACATTGTGAGGGCGAGAGTCATTGTTATAGAGAACAGTCAAGGCATCGCTTTTAATCCTCAGTTCTCCTTACCAGAATATTGGAGAATTTGAGTCTTGACGACCCTTACCGGTACCGGTGTACTCCAGTATCTTCGTGCTTCAATGGCCAATTCGACGAACCGCTCTCACCTCTCACTTCTCACCCGATCATTGCAGATTGCAGATTACTGGCATTGACCAACCAAACGCACCTTCCGTATCTCATTCTGTAGTCTCTTCTCAACCTCTTCATTGGAAATTCCAACTCATCCTCTCTCTCTCTCACTGCTGCTAACTTCGACGATGGATACATCAGAGCGAGAAGGCGATACCGGCAACGAAGATTCCACGGGCATAGACCACAATGAGGTTGAAACACAGGTGGACACTACAAACAGCGGCTCCGGAGTAGAATTGGCAGCACCGGACGACCTGACAACAGAGGAGACATCTGACATAGGATTGCCATGCCGCGAAAGAACATATGCTAGTTCAGATGAGGAACCAGATGATTTCGACCCATTGAAGATTGTGGAACTTCGCCTGCAGGCTATGGCAGCCCAAGATCACAATGATATTGACGAATCAACCGTGATCTTGGAACAAACTTCTTCCGGTGGAAGAGAAACTCAGTGCGGTGAAGACGACAGTCACGATGAGATTGATATGCTCAAGATTGTACAAGCCCGGATTGATGGCGCAATGACTGATGCCAACACTGATGGCACTCAGCCGGCTGACGACATGGCGGCGGTCAAATCAACTGGGAAGACCCGCCAAACCGACGTCCCTGTCTCTGTCTCTGTGGAGCAGCCGATCAAAAGAAAGATGCCAAAACGGACAAAACGAGATCTATCCAACTGGTTGTTCTGGGATCAAGCGGGAGTTCTAAAACAGAGAATAGAAGAGTTCAAGAACCGGTTGCACAGAATGGGGCCGATACCGTACCTACTTCGAACCAAACCGAAACTCAACCAGGAGCTTATGCTAGGGCACCTCGCGCGGGGCAAAGGGACGAGCATGCAGCATCCAATCGCCAGAGATCAAATGTCCAGGAGAATGGCTCATCTGATCCAATGCCAAACGTGAGCAATTCTGAAGACACTTCCGGTTTACTAGTGGCAAATCTTGTCACAGATGAAAGTCGAGAAGAGTTGCCCACAGCTCAGGAGATGACTCAGGTGACAATAACAGATGGATCCGGTTGGGATCCAATGAAGTGTACTCTGGTTTGGTTTGTCAGTGGCCTTTCACTAGTTGCCATCGTGGTGATCCTTTCAGTGTTGGTTGTATCCCAACAAGCTTCCGATGTTTCCCACACAGTCATGGATGTTGGTTCCACAGCTCCAAGCCCGCTGCCAACAACAGCACCGACCTCAATAAAGTCCTACCTGCTCAGCCTGCTCCCCGATGAAACTATCGTTGCCTTGAATGACGATGAATCTCCTCAATCGCAAGCCTTTGAATGGCTACTTGTTGATCCCTTCCTTGATGAATTTACCGAGTGGCGTATCCAACAAAGGTTTGCACTGATGACACTGTACTATGCAACTGGTGGAAACAGCAACTGGTTTAACAACACGAATTGGGGGAGCAGCATCAATGAATGCTACTGGTTTGCAGCTGCTCCTTGTGAATGCGACGTCATTTTGAAGCTCCCAGTGGACAATGACACAAAGGTTGACTTGCTGTCAACCAATCCTTGTGGAATTGGCTATCAAAGCACACCCAATGACACAGAACTCAGTAGTGGAACTTTTGGTGGGCGCTACCAGAATTTGTTGCTGAGTCAAAATGGATTGCAGGGAGCCATACCTGAAGAGGTGTTTTTACTGCTTACGTCTTTGTCGAACTTCCAGGTCCATCTAAACGAATTGTCGGGCAGCATCTCCACATTTGTGCGGGAGCTTTCAAGTCTTCAAATATTCTCAGTTTTCAACAATCACTTATCTGGGACCATCCCAACTGAGCTCTTTTTTATTCCCACCCTGTTGGAAATTGATGCATTCCACAATGAAATCACAGGTACCTTGCCATCTGAAGTGGGCATCCCCGACCTCGCAGGTCTCCTTTTCGATGGAAATCTACTCACAGGGACTCTGCCATCAGAGCTTGGTGCTCAAGTAGCTAGCAGCTTGATGACGAGATTGTACCTGAATGACAACAGCTTTCAAGGTACACTTCCTTCTGACATAGGACACCTCACGTTGCTCGAACCAATCTTTGTTAGTTCAAACCTGCTGTCAGGAACTCTACCAAGTCAATTGGGCCTCCTTACCAACTTGCACACCATAAGCTTCCGTAGGAATTTGTTCACCTGCAGTCTTCCCTCAGATCTTGGCAAGTTGACAAGTCTGTTGAATTTGGGTCTGAATAACAATCAGCTTGATGGTACCATACCATCTGAAGTGGGCAATATGAGGTCACTGGTTGCCTTTGTGGTGCATTTCAATGCACTAACTTCTTCAATCCCAACAGAGCTTGGAAGACTGGAAAGCTTGGACACACTTGCCTTGCTGAATAACTTCTTGTCATGTACCATACCAACTGAGCTGGCAATGTTACACCAGCTTCGGAAAATGTATTTGTGGACCAACGAGTTGACTGGGCCAATTCCTTCCGGTAAGTTGGCTGTCCTTTGTTTGAAAAGTGTTGAATGTCTTAATAAATGATATGGCTCATGGTAGGTACATGTATTGTCATCCTTGCTCCAATCAGAATTTGGTGTCCTCCCCAAGCTGAATTTCTTGTCAATTGAAGAGAATCAGCTAAGCTCAATGGTGCCCACTGAGTTGGGCCGGCTTTCCCAACTAGAGGCCCTTTACGCTCATCGAAACCAGTTATCTGGACCAATCCCATCAGGTAAGCTGTTTCCAGTCTCACAGGACAAGCAATTGACTGTTACTCATCTTTTGGTGCACTTTTGGACCACAGAACTTTGATTGCTTACAAGCTTGTTCAAGGTTGGGCTAAGCGAAAACTCTTTGACGGGGAATACCCCATCTGAGCTCGGGTTGTTGTCCAACATAACCAGTCTAGCCTTGTACAGCAACAAGTTGTCATCAACAATCCCCCCTCAGTTGTTCCTTTTGACAAACATGGTCTCTTTCCTTCTTCAGGGAAACTACATCTCAGGAAGTATTCCCACTGGTAAGCAATCTGAACGAGTCTCATCTCATCGTGGCTGCTGTGTCAGCAGCAAACTAACTGCCTGCCTTTTGCTTTGTGTTGTGTAGAAATTGGTCTACTTACAGATCTTACTGCATTTTCAATGGGTAGAACAATTTGACCTCCTTCCTTCCCTCTGAGCTAGGGTTGCTGGCACATCTAGAGCAACTAGTTGTCTCTGAAAACCAGATCACTGGGCAACTTCCAAGTGGTGAGTAAGCCAAGGAGAAAATGTCTATATCTCTTAGCGTGATTCTGTCTGATGGTATCCTTTTTGTGCTGTTGCTGTAAGAAATTGGATTCTTGAAGTCACTAAAAAGACTTGACTTTGGCTGCAGCAGTTCTATCAAAACGTTTAAGCTCCTCGAGCACGTTCCACAGTATCTTTTCTCAAGCTATAACCGATTGCGTGTTTCGTGGACTCCCAACTTTTAATGGGCCCGTATACTCGACTAAGATGTTGGCGTGCATGGCTGGGCTGTAGTCACCGCATCTCTTGACAGTCCACACAAGCTCGGGATTGGATTGAAAGACGCGAAAACGATGGATCGGGCGCTTGCAGACAACATCGTTGGATCAAGAACGATGCTTTTGTCAGCTTTGGTGCTTGCTTTGGTCCTCCCACCAGCGCTGTCGGGTGGGAAGTGCTGTCCGCCTCTCAGGGCGGTGACATGCAAACCAAGAAACACCACAAGAAGAACGGCCACACCATGGAGACAGCATGCAGAGAGTTCATTGATTCGATTCGCCTCCGATCGCTTGTACTCTGTCTCGGTCTGAGGCTCGGTCTTAACAGATCTTCGCCTTCGCCATTTCGCACCTTCGCGGTATTCAAATGCTGACGTCAGTGCAGCGAAGATGCTTTCAGTTGGGCATGTTTCTTCGCACCTCCAGAGCCTCGCCAGATCGCGCCTGGTGGATGTGAGATTGTTCTGTTTGATCACAAACAAGGTCTTTCGCCTGTGTAGAAGCCACGGCAAACGAGAGACACCGACAATGATAAACAATAGAGCGATCACAAGATATTAGATAGTGTATGATGATAGTGTATAATTGATTGATTCTTTAGAAAGATAGATCTGTTTGTTTAGATTAGATGTATTTGTTTGTTAGAGAAGAAGGATGCAAGAGAAGTCGCTGGCAGCAGTTGATTCTCTCTTTTTTGGAGATGCGTACCTCTGAAATAGAGGCTTTCGAACTACAAGGAGTGCCCACAAAGCTGGCAAAAATGAGCTCACCAGGGGAGGAATTCGCGCATTCTGATCAATTGGCACAGTCTCCTGTGGCTGATGATGATGATGATGGGGACTCTCCTTTGATAGCCCATGATGATGGCCAACAGGTAACATTCCATCCTCCTCGTCGGGTTGCCAGTCCTGTCGTTGTACCAAGAAGGGTTCTGACCACTGCATCGGCAAACAGTGGCTTTTACTCGCTAATGGATCCACCACCAGGAGCTAACAGTATCATGGTAAATGACTTCCGACACAGTCTCTGGAATGCACAGCCACCATTCCCACCTGCAGGAAGAGTTATGCCTGACGTGACAGCAGCTGGTTTCCCGATCCAGTATCAGCCGGAAGTGTCCAATGCTACCAACGCAACACAAGCCCCAGTGGCTGAGACACCAGTGGCCGAGAAGGCACAAGGTGCACAAGGAAGGCCACCACTCCCTCCAGCAGCACCAGCACGGAAGAAGAAAGCCAAAGAAATCAAGGAGCTACCGGGTGTGCTTAAGGGCTTCACTTTCGACCACCGAAACCGGGTGGTTCTTGCTGAGGATCTCAACACCAGAAGCAAGAGTGACAAAGGGCCATTCAAAACAGCAATAGGAATCCGTGTCGGCAGAGAGAACACACCCAGTTTCCAGTATTTTGACTTGAAGGCAGGCGACCTAAACTCTTCACAGCTACGTACACTGGCAAAGAACTTTGGTTGTAAAAATATTGGCTCTGCCTCTATGTTTGATTGCCGAAGGCAGATGGCAATGGCCATTGAGATGGGAACCACCTATGACAATATGCAAGTGCCCAGTACTATTTCGAGCACAATGGAAAGGAAGATCCGGTTTCTGATCCGGCTTATAAATACAGTCTTCCTCCCTTCTTTCATTGACCGGTTTGTTGCTTTGACCAAAAGATTCGATAGGAATGCATTCGAACTGAATTCAGGGCAGAGCCCTATAAAGGCGTACTGGAGTGACATCGCTGCTACTTACGTTGATCCAGAGAACAACGCTACTGTTGGAAAGGTCTTGTATTCAGATCTTGAAGGGGATGATGCCGATGAGTGGCTCGCCAATGCTGTCGAAGAGCAAGGCATCAACCCCAACGATTTCAGTAATCTCTCTGCAGAAAGCTGCCAAGCTCACATGAAAGATCTGTTGAAAGCAAGAGAGCAAGTGATCATTGCGAAGACAAGGTCAGGGCAGCACCAAGTATTCCAAGACTACCTCAAGAGAACTCACCTGACAGTTCGCGGTAAAAACGCCATGCCTGGAGTCCCTGTTTATTATCTGGATAAGCGGGTGAAGGAACAGCCCAACATTGACACCGCGCACAACGTATTTATGCCTCAGGGTCTGACGTCCGACTCATCAGCTCCAACCAACAAAGGAGTCGCCACTCCTGCCTCCCGCGACTCTGACACAGAAGAGGCCTCAAGTGGATCGAAACGAGATCGGCAACTCATGGCTACACTCCAGCAGGCAACTTCGGCAATTCAACAAAGCCAAACCGAAGCAACTGCAATGCGCAGATCCTACATGGACCAGCAACAATACAGGGAATACGACCGTTTGTGTGACCACTATACTGATATCCAGGACAGCAACAGCAGGCACAAGAGGAGGAAGCTCCCCCATTTGAAAAAGCGACTACTCAAGCTTGAAGAAACCCTCAAAATTCCCAAGGACGAAAGCATAGTGGAGAACGAAAGAGACAGCAGTGACACTGAATGACTAGAGAATTAAAGTAGTGTTGCGCTCTCCAATGGTTCGTTTCTCTTTCTTTTCTTCTTGCTGCTTTTGTTTATCTTATTGATAGTCGGTCGCTTCAGTTGCAACGTCTCAACTCTGCGAGCCATGGCTTCGCGAAGATGGGAAAAGCTGTACAGATCGTCACCCTGCCCTTCCAGTGCAGTCAACTGAATGGGATTGCCATTTTCGTCATGAGGAACTGATGGATGGTATGCTGGTTGTTCTTCGAAATCGTCATATGCCACATGCTCTCTTGGATCTCGAGACGTCTTGTTTAGCCTAAGTCTTTCGTTGATGACAAAGTTGTGTAGGCGAGCTATAGCTTGGACCATTGCTCCAACCCTGGTAATAGAAACACCAACCGATCGCCACAAGATACCCCATTTCATCTGCATAAGTCCAAATGCCATCTCCACCCGAATACGCAACTGGCTAGCGTAGAAGTTGAAGTTGTCGTACAGCGGATTCAATCTATCCACCCCCTGATAAATAGTTACCATGTGTTCTGTGGCCTGATAAGCAGCATCTCCAATGACACATATGCCGGGAGGCAGAGACTCTATTAGAGTGTGTAGATTGCATCGGCGAATTGCCTCTCTATCTCCTGTCACCCCAGGTGCAGTGAGTGCAATAAAGGAGAATCGCGAGTGATGGTCTGCAGCAGCTTGGATGTTGACACCATAGCATTGGTAGTGTCCTGAGAAGTAGGAACGGACGTTTCCAACATGTCTTTCTGCAGGAACCTTAGTGCGTAAGAGATAGCCATCCACAACAGCCACACAGTTGTTGATTGCCACTTCATCACTTATGGAACCGAATCCCTCAATTGCCTCCTTTATATCCTCGGGCGACTTAGGAAAGTTGATGCTAAGCTTTGGGCAGTTGTTGACACAGTTAATCGTCTTCCAGATGACACGATAAAAAGAAGGTTTTGATAAGCCACCGATGTCACAGATATCCAAATAAGAACCACCTGCTAACCACCGAATAGTACAATACAGACATATCTCTGGGAGAATGGGTCCACCCCTCCTGTTTGCAAACGTCTCTTGCACTAGAAGATCAGTGTAGAGGTAGCCCAGTAGGATGTCGAATGACTCTTTCTCCATCCGAAGGCGTCTCCCAAAAGTCCCACGGGATGCATGTTTGTCACTGTATTCCTGCCAAGCTAAACGCTGTTCGTACAGAGATTTGGCTCTGTTGGTTGGACAAAGCTTGAATACACACACAAATATCAAGGTTAACAACAGTACGTCTGCGTCCACAGCACTCAGTTCAAAGAAAGAGTCCATGTCGATCATGATAAATGGTTCTAGTTGGCTAGTTTACTACTGGTCAACTAGCGGCCACTATTGACCAATTTGTGACTGGCTTGTGGACGAAGTAGGCATGACTGCGAGGAGGCATGCTGGCTCCAGCACATCATCTAATACTTATGGTCCCTAAGGATACTTAGGCGGCGAAGATCAACCTTCGCGATGATTGAGAATGCTTCCATTGTTTGCCACGAAGATGAATATTCGCCGTTCAGTCATGCTTCATGTCCTAAGTGACGCAATGGCGAAGCGGCGAAGGTGCGAAAAACTCTGTTAAGACCGAGCCTGAGAGGACCGCGGTGGAGCGCTCCTGGGGTCGATGATTGTGCAGGCATCGCGGAAAATCCTTGCAGTATTGGCTCCCGCAACCTTGACCATTCGATCGAGGCAGGGTTCGCAGCAGGGTGTGGGACTCACATGAAATACACGCTGTGGGTACACGATGTGAGTACGGGTATTGAGTACTGAGTATACTCGTACCCATACTCACTTGACCCTCGAAAATGTGAGTAATACTCAATACCCGTACTCACATGACTCCGGAATCTGAGTACTTTTTGAGTCTTCGGTGAGTACTTCGGTGAGTACTTCGAAGTGAGTACCAGTGAGTACTCGGTGAGTACTCGTGAGTATTTTGTGAGTATTTCGCCAACTCGCAGCCCCATAAATTTCCCATTTTCTCACATTGAGCTTGTTCATTGAAGCTTTGAAGCCACTGTTGAGCCACTGTTGACTCTAGCTAGCCACTCTTTTGTTCTGTTGTCTCTTCTGTTGTCACCATTGCTGATGTGAGGATGATGAATCTTGGTCACAGCGCGATTTTGAGAAGCTGTCGAATGAGCGATGATGGAAGAACCGGAAACAAGAAGAAAAGGTGATATGAAGAGAAGAAGAAGATGAAGAAGCTGCAGCTGCGATGATACCATGGCCGCGGCAATGGAACTGATTTGACTGCACAGTAAGTGCAAGCCAAGAGTATTCCCACGCTCAGTCGCAAGCCACCCGGCGTTCTGGCGTTTGGAATGTTACTACAGTTTCGACATTCCCGACGCCGAACAACTTGGAAAACCTCCAACCTTGGATGATTCGGCCTACCAAAAGATCATCAAGGAATTCTTTCGGGAAGCAATATGTGGCGTGTCGTGCATGCCTCGAGGATACCAGCAAGTCACTTTCCAAATGTCTATTCCGGCCAACCTACAAGAAATGTGGATCAGTGGATTCGATGGCACTGGAATCCTGGCAAACACCTTGAGGACAACACTTACCAATGTATCAAGCAATCACAAAGGAAAGAGGTGTCATTCCGTTACGACCATTTGCAAATGATCGGTGGCGGCTTTTGCTGTAGGTCCAATGGCAGCTCCTCCTGTTCCCAGGAAGTACCGCAAAACATTCAGCACAATCAGTCATAGTACCCTTTCCGAGCCAAGGTCTATGGTTCATGAAATGAGTAGAAGAGGCTGGAAAAAGCCAGGCTCTTGCAATATTTCAAAAAAAAAGCATCGGTATGCTACAAACAAAAACATTCCCTTCGTGTTTTTACGGACCACAAAGCATGTCCTTGAATTCAGAGACATGATGAATCTATGCCATGCAGAATGGAGCCGCTCTTCTGAAATGTCCCAACAATGCTTGATGGGACGCATGGCCATACAAACTACAGAGCCAAGATTACCAAACTTTCATGGCTGCGGTTGGAATGATCTAGGAGAGACGGACCAGTACTATATGAAAACCTTTGTTGTCATAAGTCTTTCCTTACTGTCGCTCATGACGTTTGGGACTCTAACAAGAAGGAAATACTTGGAGTGACGACTTCTTTTACAACCCCAAAAGGGTGTCTATCTAAGAATTCCCGTTGCACTGGCGGAATCTAAAGAAAAAAGGAGAGCCCACCACGAATCAATCATGGATATTCTCAAACTTTTGGTATTGAGGACCGATGATCTACAAGGCCATGAATGACACTACAACACGGCGCTATTGGTGGCCGCAACCTGAGTGGAGAAAATGCCTACTGTGCCATGCATGAAATTCAGTTGGCTTTTTCGCATGCCACCGGTCAAAGGAAACGCTACAAGGACAAGGTAGTGGTTGACGAGTTTGATGCTTGTCAGGCTATTCGAAAACAAGCCGAGGAAAACGCCAAGTGGTTGGCCAACAAGAAATCGAAGGGAGATGGAAGAAGTTCACGGAAACACTCTCTGTGCTGGCCGATACCCAGGGCCTTTTGCATGTCAAACCATACAAGGGCCGAGGAGAAGCTTTGTTCTACCTTCGTTTATCCAGCTCGGTGGAACCTTCCCCACTATTCATTGTTGACGATAAATGTCGGAGGTGGAGGATTTTAAGTACCATGTCATGGCACAACCTTGCGGTGGATTCCCCATGTTGAAGCTTTTTTGCTTTGTCCAGTCGGTACCACTATGGTGCCAATTCCTTTACTGCCTATGGGACATACCGTGTGTTTGCTTCTTATTGTTACTCCAAGGTGGTTTGGGTGCCAGAGACTCGCGAAGCAAAGCTACCAATGACACTGAAAAGTGGAATGGCACTGCAAGTGGTACCCCACCAAGTTTGAGGCTCTCCCCAGTTTGATGAACCAAAAGAAGACGCGGAAGGACTTTACCTTCCTTCCACCACTGAGAGGATTGGTTTGAGGACAATCAAAGTCGCGAAACTCATAAGATTCCACAGAAACTATTCCAGCGAATCCAAGTGAGTTGCGACGCTATGGTGCTTGTTTTTCAAGCTCTAAGCAGGATGACAAACTCTCGCCATGATGTGTAATCCTTTCGGTAAGACACACATGCTTGACGACTTTGAAACCTTGCTACTGTTGTCGATGGTTCGGATACCCTCCCGGCAAACAAACTGATGGGCAAAGGTGTTCGGCAGAGAGCCACGACGATATTGACGATCTGGGTCAAGCAGATGTGGGGAAACAAATTCGACCTAGCCGAACAAGCGACTGCAAATGCAAGTCCGAAGAAACCACAGGCCAAGCCACGAACCAACGACCCTCTTGCATTGGCAAGGGAAGCCAAACGAAGGAGAATCGAGGATACTCCTGTGGAAGAAGGAGTTGACCAATCCAGAAGCAATCGACAAATGGTTAGGCGAAGACTTCAACTTGTTGGATGCTCTTCGGGCTCAGAAGCGGAAGCTATCGGTAAAGATGTTCTCTCTACACTTGGCAATGAAGAACATTGCTGGTTGGACAACATTGAAGTGGTGAAAATCTACTTTGACTTACAAGAATGGTGGGAGACAACTGGCAAAACCAACCACCCAATCATTTATGAAATTGCTGTGCGCATCTTTGCAATGCCAGATAGCAACGGCTTCCAAGAAAGAGTTTTCAGTTCTTGTACATGGTTTGATGGAAAACTCAGCAATGGACAGAAGGTTGACATGACATTCCAAATGCGCCTTCTTTGCTACAAGAACAGTGCATCATCCAGAACTACAAGCAATGCCTCAATGATGCAAGAAAGGAATGGGCTAAGAATAGGACCAAGGCTCTCCTCAAGCTAACTGCCAGCAGATGTGAAGAGGGGATTATGACAGTGATATTGATGCCATGGTGGACCTTTACAACAAGATTGATGAGCCCCAGCCCAGAACTAGAAAAAACAAAATAATTTCCCTAAGTAATTGATTTATGAGTACTCAGTGAACTATAGTACCCACAAAGTACCTGTACTCACATGATACCCGTACCCACTTGACCCTGGGAATTGTGAGTATTACTCAGTACCCATACTCACTTGACTTTGGAATTGTGAGTACTACTCAGTACCCATACTCACATGCTAAAACAGTGTGAGTACCACGCCCTGGTTCGCAGAAGCAGTGGATGACGAGTGCAGGAGCAGCGGGCACGCTGAAATAGAGCTCCAAAGCTTTAATAAATCACCGCAGCTGGCACCTTCCCCCGGCGGAAGAAAAAGAAGTGCAGGTTCATTCAGGCTCTGGGCTCTGGCCTTGTGTGTTCCTTGCTTCTTCCTACCTCCTAACCTCATCTCGGAAGTCTCCAAGTTGTTTTTGGAAAAGCCTGGCTACTACATTTAATTTCCACACGCCCCGCCAAAGGCAGTAATCAGTGTCTTGGCCCGTCTCGCCCTATTCTGGACTAACGATGATCCTTTTGGACCTCTATTTTTCTGGAGGCCTCTAGCTAGCTAGCTAGATCTACTTCGTTGTGGACTGTTGCTGCTCTTGTAGCAGCAAAGGTTCGTCCCTCAAATTAGAAGCGATACATGTATGTAGTCTAGTAGCCACTTCTGTTTCTTGCACGGTATACAGAGATCACCAAGCATGCATTGGCTTTCAGAGTGTGTTGTCACTTGACAGTCAGCCACTCGGTGCTATCAGGCCATCTCATCAGGCCGTCCACAGAGCCGAGCTGCTGGGGTGATTTCTTTGTGGTACTACTACAAACCTCAGATCCACTTTCCAAGTGGATAGAGCCTAGCTAGCTACTGTATACAAATAGACTGGATATGAATGATTGAGCAATGTACTTTTGGATCTAGTATATTATATTATAGTGTTACATGTCGAAGAACTTGTCGTCACATCCCAAAAAGGATGGTTCCTGTGGTTCTTTCTTTTTTTGTGTGGTGCATTATTTATTCTGCATTAGCTATTACCGAGACTCCGTGCTGGCAACACTGTCTTCGCTGAGAGCTCGCTGTGGCTTTTTCAAGGGCATGATGTGTGACAGTCTTCCCAATGGCAGAGCTTCCTTGGGTCGGATAATGCCTGGAGCTTCCCAGCGCGAGAGACTGTTGTTGAGACTGCTCATCACTGGTGTGGCAGTCTTCTTTGGTCGGTGACCACGAGCTTCATCTTGGACCACTCGAACTTCCATCGCTGGAAGAGAGGCACTCTGGTTGGCAAACAGCACTTCACTCAGGAGAAACGATGCGAGGGGATCCTGGGGTTGGTTCATTCTTCTTCTGTTGCTGCGGACGTGGTGGTAGTAGGGCATTGACTGCTATGCTGCAAATGGCTTTGATCGATCAAGTATTGGTTGATCGAAGTTTGGAATTGTGAGATCGTAGTGCAGGATAGATGGCGAGGGAGCCCCTGAGGTGCAACTGCGTCGTAGGGCAGCCTTCTTCCGCTGGCAACCGAACACGTAGATCTACTACCGGTAGCTATCTATCGATCGTACCGGTAGTTACCAGTCTCAGGATTCTAATGGTACCGGTAATGGTCAAACTTCTTTGGCCATTTTGGGATGGTTACTGGTCAAAAGAGCCTGTAAAGGAAACTCCGGAAACTCTGTGGAGATGCCTTCTTAATTGATCAGGTCCAATCATGGTTCTCAAATTCAGGAGAGGGAGAATAATATTTGAAAATGGTTTATACAAAAGACATGGAAGACTTTTTGGGCCTCTCAAAGATTTGATGGTTATTACGTGTACTAGTAAAACATTTTCACAGTGGAGCTTCCAGCTTCTGATTTATGAATGTTTGTTCTCCAGATAGTTTGTGAACCTAGTAGGAGGGGGCATTGACAGGTATCTCGTTTACTGTTAGCGTTGACAATGATTATGAGCTGATTTTGTCGATGACAGTGGTGGGAAAAAAAGGAGACCAGCATCTTAAAGCATAATTTCATTTGCGATATTTTGAACCTTCCGTTAGGCTCCCTCGACTGTCATCTATTTAGTAGTTGCAGTACAGGTGAGTCTCTCTGGAAGCCTGTTTCATTGACTTTTCGGAGTTTTTGAATGTTCCTTGCCTCCCAAAGCCTATCAATATTAATAGCTGGCCAATTCTTGGATGGCCTTAACTACTGAATACGTCATACAAACAAAACTAATGCTCCTTGGAACAGGAAACAGGATCACTTGGTTGATTCATCATTCGTTAAATGTATTTTCTTTCTCTTCTAAAGTACATGTACCGGTACCGGTACGTCCGCTAGCTAGGTACCGGTACCTGGTACAGGCAATGCACAATGCGCCGACGTGCCGTACTAGCCAGCCAGTACTCGTAACATCGATGGCCACGTTGAGTCGAGTCAAGAATAGGAATAAATGTGGCTGAGCCTGGATCTAGCTGTAGCTGTCAAAAGTGCGTGAGCATGGTTGATAAGCTGGTTGGGGAGCATTGTGCTGTGTGGCCTGGGAGATGGGAGTGACGAAGAGGAAGCTGGTCCTGTTTTTGGCCTTTCGTTTTTCTTTGTCTGGCTAGCTAGCAGTAACCGATAGTAGCTGGCTACGGGTAGCTCATATATATCCGTAACAAAAAAAGTTGAAGCAGCAGGCAATAATGCTGGGTTCCTTTTAGGCGGCAAACCAATGACAGCGACGGCAGCTTCAGGGGCATCCGTGCAAGTTCGAAGCCCAGCTTGTCTGAATCTTCGGCGTCTGGGCTACATGCATGTTCGTCATTGGCAGTTGTAAAGATATTGAACTGATCCATCTACTCACTGCTTGGTGCGATGAATCGTGCTTTCAGCACGCAGTAGCTCCAAGCATAGCACTAAGCATGGCAGTGTGGCAGTGTGGCAGCATGATGAGAACAACTAACTATAGCTGCCTGTCGCCATGTACTAGCTAGCGGTGCAGCTAGCAAGTATCTAGCTAGAGACCCATCCTACTAGCTAGTAGCTAGTAGGCACTAGCTAGTAGCTACCGGTTGGGGGGTCGTGAGAACAAGAATGTAGATATTAATTTTAAGAACTAAGTTTGGTTGAAGGATCATCAGACGCCAAAGAGAAGATATATATATATAAGCACCAGGAGCCAAGCAGCCAGGAGACGAAACGCTGCAGTGCTAGAGACTACATGTATTTACATGCTGCTCTTTTTCGGATCCCAGGCAGTCTCGGTTGTTCAAATTAGGCTACGCATAGGAGAAATAGGTCTGTAGGGGACTGTAGGGGACCGTAACCCTGGAGCAAGGTCCACGCGTCCACGCAGAGTGCCTGAACAGTGCTGATCAGGGTTCGCTAACCAATCAATTATGTACTGGTTACTGGTTATTGGTTATTCAACCACTCAATTGGGGGTACTGGTTACTGGTTATTGGTTATTATTGGTTATATAACCACTCAAGCTAAGGTACTGGTTACTGGTTATTGGTTATTTGGCATTGGTTATAGGTTATTTTATAGGTTAGTAACCGGCAACCACTGGTTATATCAGTGGTTGAACCAAAGGAAATTGAACATGGCCCGCAAGACTTGTGTGTTGTTTGCTCCCGTCCCATGTTCAATCCCAATTGCTACACCTTATGCATTGGCATCAATGAAGGCTGCATTAGCAGCATCTTCATTGGCGTAATGCTCCAACTCGTCCAGCATTTCCTGGGTGATATCTTCAGGCTCCTTGCCCTCCTCCTCTGCCCGGCTCAATTTCTTCACATGTTCTCTGAGGAGTCTCTTTGTGCGGTTCTCGGCCACCCGCTTCCTTGCAACGCTCACAAGGTGACGGTGTTGGCGGAGGAAGGCACGATTCTTGTAGGTGAGAACCTTCATCTGAAACGTGATGTCTGTTTGCTTGGAGTTGAGCTTTCCATCCATCACGTGGCGCCACTGAAAGTTCTTTCCTGATCCCCATTACTTTCGGGCAAGGCAAGAACGATGCATGCAATAGGATACAGCAGTGGGAATTCTTCTTTGCCGGTGTCCTCCCACCATTCCATAATGTCGAACTTCTCGGCAATAAAGTCGACGTGTTTGATCCAATCTTCCTTCTTGTTGCCAATTTTGAGGAGCTCGTCCTTATCCACGGGGATTCGTGTCTGCCCTCTGAGGACAGATACAATGTCGAACTTCTCGTTCTTCATCCATTTGTTGATCGCTTGTTCCACCTTGTCAACATCCTCCGTCACTTCTTCCTCTACCACCACAGTCTCCGTTCTCTGTCGCTTTCTGCGGCGTTGCTCCAGCTTGGACAGGTGTTCTTCGGGTTCCTCCTCCTCTGTTGCTGCTGTTGCATCTCCTGGCTTGTTTACAAGTGGAGCCTTCTCTGACAGTAGTTGATCGCACATTGCCTCGATTGCTTCCTTGAGTTGCTGTCTTGCCAAGGCCGTTATACCCTTGCAACTGTACTTGTACTCATCATCGGCGAACTCCTCTACATGGTCGGCAAGCGTTTCCAAGTCGGGAAGAACAGTAGTTGTTGAGAAGGGGTTGACCATCATCGCCAAAAGACGGATTGCGTTGAAGCTACTTCTTGCGTCGGCTCCATACTCCATGAATTCATGTGCAACTCGATCGACCAACTGCACAGATGATTTTGCCATGGTCTTGTGTTTGTGAGGGACCCTTCTCATCCCAACCGTTGTCAGAGAGCTTGGAACAATGTACGTATTCCCCAACTTGGTTGGAGCTGGATCAAACGGAGTTCCATCAAAGGTTCGCTGGGGAAATTTGCATCTCCATCCCACTTGTCGGTCGCGTTTGGATTCTCAAGAATTCTCGTCTCAGGAATCCACCAGAATTCTGGAACGAAATAGAGGACGGCAGTTCTGTAAAGAAAATAGTAAGAGTACGAGATGGAACCGAAGCGATCACTCTGAACAATCATAAGAAGGGTATACAGAGGATACTGGACGGAATAGTGCTGGGAGACAATGTAGAAGTTGTCATCGCTGAGATCCTTGTTGCTGACGTTCTTGTGGTAGTAGATGCGAAGGTTCCATCTGGCAACAATCATATCCCCGTAGTGAAGAACAACTCCCTGATCTAGTAGGTTGGGAATACGGATCCTTTTCAACTCGACCTCATCCCTCATCAGCTGGAGGAATACTTGAGCGTCCCTTGGATTTCTTTTCCATCAAGTGCTTTGCACAAGCCTCGCTCATCTTTCGTACCACCTGTCCCGGCTCAAAAGAGTCAACAACCTTTTGTTGTCAGTCCTGACCCTCCGACCATTTGCATGGTCAAGACACAACTGCATCTGATGCATAGCACAAACACCGTTAACTCCAGTAAGTTTGCGACCAACAGAGAGGGCTACTGCGGTAGTGTCATTAACCGCCCGGTACAACATGCTTTTCTTGATACCCAAAGTAGATAGGACTTCTTCGATCTGTGCGACGGTTGGTGCGGCCTTCTTGTTTTCCACAATACAAAGTGCAACGGCAATTCTGAAGTACTGTTTCCGGACGGGAGAGTAGAAGTAGATAGATGCTCCCAACACTTCCTTCTGGTTGGAATCCCAAACATCATGACTGATCATGATGAACTCTTGAGGCTTGCCAAAGATTCGGAAGTAGGCGTCGGCTGCCTCCGTCACATACATTTCCACTCCAGCAGAAAACTCAAACCAGGTTTCACGTCGCTTGGTTCGCAAAGCTTGCCTACCCATGAGTCGTAATTGTTCACTCTCTTCAGGGCCTCGGCGTTGGCAATGATGAACTGAATCATCTAAAGTATTCAGGACAGTTCGTGTGATCAGTAACAACACGCTCAGGAATGTTGTTGAAAGTGATGAACTCATCCTGTAAAATCTTGAACTGTTCGAGGACATTACAAGTCCAGCCTGAACAGCCATGTTGTGCACCACATTGACAACACCTGGTGGAGACTTGAGTTGGCTTACCGGTGAGCCTCTAACAGAAGCCACATGAGACAAAGATGTAGCCGAGACGGCAGCAGCAGCAGCATTACGGCGCTGCAGCAGAACGACTTGGTGGCAACGGTCTTGGAATAGCTCTTCAGGAACTTTCATTCCCCATGTGTAGGCAGACCCATAATGCTTGATGGCACGCGAGACTTCCTTGTGTTTAGCATTAACATGAGTAGACAGATTTCCAATACCATCGTATACAGCATGAACATACTTCCTGTTGTAGGACGGACTGAAGAGACACCTGTGGAGGGGAATGTCATGCTCAACACAGGCGATGCACGCCATCAGTGACGGAAATTATTGATATACTTCAGCAGCTTGACCTTTGCTGTCCGATCCAATCCTTCGAGGGTGTCCC